TCAATCAACTCTTCTTTAGGTTTTAATCTACTTCAGATACTTAGAGCATATAAGCTTTTCTTAATCTTTTTCTTAGTAATCAATTTAGCCTATGAGAATACGTCTCAGAATGGGCCTATCTATTGTCCTTAGAATTTGATGTTGCAATTGGGTATACCAACTTTGAACATCCTCTTTGCCTATGTTCAACTGCCTTTCTTCTTCTTGACACTTCTTTCATGATAGCTAACCATAGGAGAATTTGAAGCTTTAAGTTCTATGCGTAGCCGTGTTAGTTCCTAAAGGTTCTCAACATGCTATGCAACTCAACAATGGATCTTTCCAAGTTGTTCATGCCTAGTCAGAATCACCTGATCTTAGCCAATTCCAACACGTGGAATTCCACGTGTCTTTAATCTTATCAATGTACTTAATTCTTTAAAATTTTGTAGTATCTTGACTTTGCCATGTTATTTCAAAGGAACTCAACATGCAATGTAGTTCCACAATGGATCTTTCCAGATTGCTCATATCAGAATCACCTGATAGTATGTACTAGTTGGCTAGTTAGTTATGCTACCATAGTCAGCTTCCAACATGATGGAATCCCATATTTGTAGACTTTGTACACATAACATTTGCTAATATGCATCTTTCCAAATTGTTCATATCAAATCAGAATCACCTGATTATATGCATATGTTAGCTAGTTAGTTATATTTCCATAATTGAATCCTAACTTTATGGAATTCCATGTAGCATCAATGTTATCGAAGTACTAACTGTATTTGATACTTGCTCCTTTCTATGGCTGAAGGTATGATCTTTCTTTTCGTCTCAAACCATGAAAAAGATTGGTCAATCCTTCTAGCTTGTCCTTTTAGAGACTTTTATAGCAGTTAACGTTTTAGTGGATACTTTTAAGACATCATTCAGTTAATGGTTATACCTAGTTTGTTTTATTGATCCTTAATGAAGAATTACCCAATTATCAAATTATTTTAAACAAGGCTATGATCCATATTTCACTTCATGATGTGAAGTGGATTAGCCGAAAATCACACCAAGAAGCTATTTAGGTAGACAAACGATTGTCAATCTCAATCTTTATGAGATCCCCAGATCTTTCGATATTTATTGACACTATGTCAATAGCATGTTAATCTCTTTTTATGCTCATTTAGCATTCATGACTGGATTAGCCGAGGATCATGAATCTAAATGGTGAATCCGATCATGCGAAGCTACATCATATTCAGCTCAAGTAACGCTTGAGAATCGCGACTACCATATACCTTACTTCGAGAATTCTCATTTGACGTGCTCGTAAACCACCCACACATAATGCCAAAAAGAAAACACGACAAGACGTAATTTCCATGGGAAGCATAAGATTCACATTTTTATATAAAATGGGATTTTGTTTTAATACTTATAATGTTAATACTTTTAACAAGCCAAGTTTCCTCTCAAACCCATTCGGTAACTCTACTCACAAAACACAAGATGGCGGTGAGGTTGGTGAGCAATAAATGTCACTTAAAAGCCGACCTCGTTAGGAATCGAAGAGACCTCCTTAAATATTAGCATTTAGAGTAGGTGAGCATAGTCGTGGTGAGACTGACAATGATTTTAGAACATGCAAGGACGCAACGTTTGTACTTTATGTCATATATATAAATACAATTTTACCATATATATAGTGTAATTTAAACCATTTAATTCTAATTTGACACATCAGGACGCAATGTCAATAATTAATACATTCAATCAAGATCTAATTCTTTGACTTTTAATTAATTAATTAAACAATTAGTTGACTAATTAAACCAATAAGCATAATGTTTTCCAACTTTAGTAAAATTGACAAATTTGCATGTTGAACTCAATCGAGATATATAACTTAAGGGGCAAGCAAACCAAGTCAACTAATATATTTTCTTTGGTAACGAAATCTGTGAGCAGTAACCACGTCGTAGCAGAGAAGTCACCACGTCGTGGAAAAGTAGATCATCATGTCGTTGAACATTAGCGACCACGTTGTGGTGCGACACAGAAACATGTTTTTTATCAGATCCCCACGCCATGGAGGAGAACCTCCTACGTCGTGACGATAGAACAGATTCATGCAAAAATAGTTTTTTTCAACCAATTAAGTTTCTAAAAACAATTAAAACTATTTAACATTCAGAAACTGGATCAGATCTAAGCATGCAAACTCATTTAAACCTACAAGAACGGAAGATCTAAAGTGCAATAGACATGTACAGACTGCTCTGATACCACTGATGGGTTTTGAGGATCCTTAAACAAAATTAAAGGGACATCGGAAGCAACAATTAATTGATCTTCAATATATCCAAAACTCGGATCTATGCACAACCTATCTATTGCAACTTGATTATGCAAGAATACATACATTTTAGGGTTTGTCAAAACCATAGTAGATCTTCAAATTGATTGACGAGAGTTAAGAGTCTAACATAGAACTCCTCTTTCGTAGTCGCACCCAAGGCAAATGAGATTAGGAATAATCAACAACAACCCAAGCAATGAACACCATGAACGAATGCTCCAAAATCCGAAATTTAATGAAACTGCGTCGCCACGTCGTGGACAAGAAGCCACCACGACGTGGGAACTGAGATTTTGGTGGTTTCGGGAATTAGGAGGTAGGACCGATTTTCTTAAGGGTTTTGAGATTTCTAATCAATTAAATTTATCCATATGCTTCTCTATTTATAGGAAATGATAGAAAACCCTAGAAGATAATTATCTAGTCCCCTAATAATTATTCATATAAATGATAATTATTTTACTGATTAAATTGTCAATCTTTTATCCTTGAGAACATTCAAGAATTTCTAGATTTTATTTAATTAATTAAAGACTATTAATTAATTAACAAATCAAGCCCCTATAAAATTCTTATTGTCATTTATTGCTTATGGCTATGGACATGATTCTCCATCAATGAGTTCATTGGGTGCTCATTATTTTCATCCGTAGGGGTTGAAAAATGACCAATCGACTTTAGAGTGAGTTCACTGTTGTAGAAAGTCCTCATTTCTTTCCATCTCAATCTCTTTATATACTTTAGTGTCTTCTCTCTCTGTGAACATCAACAAGGTTGGGTTGACATTGTTGTTGAAGCTTTATGTCATACGAAATAAATTTTGAATCCCCATCATCCTCCAATTATCCGCTTTATCCGGCTCATCGCCGCAATTATTAAACACATGCTAATCTTTCTTTTCTTGTTTGGCTCTTTTATTCGTAACAAAATTAGGCAATCGGCCATTCACCTCTTTGACACGAATACTATGAGATATCCCATCAACTACTACAACAAGAGTTTTCGACATTAAATTCATATAAGAAGAACGAACACATACCCAAGTATTACACGCAATAGACTCTTGAGAATCATCAAAGTGAACAACATGACCCTACTTAATCGTGATTTTAAGAAGAGAGTCATTACACCATGCCTTTTGTGGAATGCCTTCCACTTCAATCCAAATCAACCACTCCGTTAGACAAAAATATCTACTCCATGGTATCAATTCTATAACAAAAATGATTGCATTCAAACACTTGTTCTATAATTATTTTGGGCGTGCTATGAATGGAACTCTAAAAAAATCCACATCCCCTAATGTAACCTTAATTGTTGGAAATAATAATTATGTTTTTAACAGAAAATATCTATTTAACATGCCAAATAAATAGCAAGACACCAACAAATGGTTAACCACATAGTCACCATAGTCCAAAAGAACCACCAAATACGATTCCTCCTTCGTAGCATTAAAAAAGTATCACCCTTACCATGACTATTAGCCGCAGCAACATTTGCAAAAGATTTCTTCATTCCTTTTGATACGCTTTCTCCCAATCCCACACGTCCATTCCCCTTGTTAAAGCCCTCTTTTTAGCCAAGATTTTACCAAGTTTTCATCCACTTTAATAAACCCAAGAAAACCTAAGGTGCATTTAGTTTTACTTGTGAAAAATTGTTTTTATTTTCGAATAAAATATTTTCAGAAATATAGAGTTGAGTTTGATTTTCAGTTTTCAATAAAATTTTAGAAAATGTGTTTCTAAGAAATTTAGAAAACTTTGAAAATTTATGAAAATCACTTTTTTAATTTACATACAATTTCCAAAACATAAAAATTTCATTTTCTTGTAAAAATTTTGAAAAGTGAATAACTGAATGTGTTTTCAAAATTTTCATTTTCATTGAAAACTAAAAAAATTTTCGCAAGATTTTACTAAATTTTCATCACCTCTCTCCATATAGACGTCTTCTGCCATACCTTGTTTTGCACAAACATCCCATAATTCACGGTTACTACATTTTAGGATGAAAAATATTAATTGCTCCGTAGCCATGAAGTTTTGGCCAAATAAACATCTAAAATAATTTCCAGTTAATAACGAACTTGCATACTTGAGTGGGAATGCTACATAAATACAGAAAACATCTTGAACAAAATTCAAGTTCACTACCAAAACATATCACATGATTTTTTTGGAGGTACAAAGAAAAATTCAAAATTCTATAGACAAGTATCGTTTCAATAAAGCAAATAAATTTTGCTTTGTAATTATGTAACACAGATCTAATAGATGAGTACAATATTGTCACCAGAAAAATAGTACTTAGCACCACAAGAGTAGTACCATACCCCTATTAAATATGGCAAGTGCACCAAAACCAATAATCTCACCTTATTGCACTCTTCTTTATAATGATACATATATAGATATATATACATATTGTTATAAACTTACACATATTAAAGATAATGGGTCCCATATCATCACTACCATTGGTCCCACTTGTTTTGTGTGGCCCCACCACATTGTCCTCCATCATTTCAACCACATTTACTAATAACTAATTGCTACTTTGAATTGTTTTCAAATTTAAGATCGAAATAACTAGATTGATGCCCAATATCAGAAAAGAAAACCAATAATTTAATAACAATCACTTCAAAAACAAACTTAAAAGGGGGAAGAAATGGGGGAAACTTTCTTTTGTTTCTTAAAACCCCCAATCTCATTTTATATTATTTCTGTTTTTTTTTTCAACATATGAACACATATAAACATCAAGCTCATAATCCATCATCATAACCATGATCATCATCATCATCCCCCACTCACTAGTGTCACTAACATCTCATTCTTCCCCTAAGCTTTGATAAAATATTATCATCTATATATTACTCCCCTAAGATCATAATTTAAAAAACCCTAATCCATCTTCAGGATCAAGTAAAAGTAAAACAAAAGGGAAACAACTAAAGCTAAAGAAAACCCCATCTCTCTTGGTCCTGCTTGATGGAAACTAGTGGTGGCGGAGCCGCCGTGCGACCACCATCCACCGCCATCCGCCTGAGGTTTCGTCTCACATGATGCTGCAACTTGAGGTGTTTTCATCACTGAAGTAGTGTGTGATAGGGTCACCCTGTGGTGGGTGGGGGTAGGGGTAGGGTGGGTAAGGTTGATATGGTGGTGGTTGCATATAGTTGACCGCCGGTGGTGGCCGGGCATACATCATTGGGTGGAATCTTTCATTACCGTTCGGGTTTTGCTGATTCATCATTGCCGCCATTTGTTGCTGGTAATAAGGGTTATTAGCCATGGATTCCGGTGCACCACCTTGGAAATATCCACCAGCACCGGCGGCACCACCACCGCCGCCGCCGCCGCCGCCGCCACCGTTCATTCCGGCACCAGCTGGAAGTCCTTGAACAGCTTGCATGTTACCCATATGACCCATGGATGCATTCATTTGACCCATTTGACCCATTTGATTCCCCATCTGTTGTTGACCCATTCGAGGACCCATCTGACTGTTCATAGGCATGTTTCCCATGAGCCCCACATTACCCCCACCACCACTCATCGCCATCATGTTTGGCATGCCATGTATTCCATCATTCATCCCACCTTTCTTACCTCCATTAACGTTCATGTTCATGTTGCCACCACCACCACCACCGCCACCTCCACCCCCACCACCTTGGCCACCACCACCATTATTCTTATTTTGACCACCACCATTCTTATTTTGACCATCTGGAGGAGGTCCACCATTTTTACCACCATTCTTCCCTCCTCCGCCACTCTGATTTTGGTTTCCACCATTGTTTCCGGCACCACCTTTCTTTCCACCACCATTCATCTGTACAGGAACATTACCACCACCACCTCCACCTCCACCACCTCCTCCTCCACCTTTCTTTCCACCACCGCCGTTATTACCCATCTGGGGAGTCGGAGCACCTTTCATCTGCTGCTGAGGTGGCATCTGACCACCCTTCATCTGCTGCTGTGGCATCGGACCACCACCTTTCATGAGTTGCGGTGGTATTTGTCCGTTCTTCATATTCATAAACTGTGGCGGAATCTGCCCACTTTTCATGAGCTGTGGTACCATATTAGCCATCTGACCTTGAGGACCTCCGCCACCCATCATCACCGGTTTCTTCACAGGAACGTCATCCAAATCATCATCAAACTCATCATCATCATCATAATCATCATCAAACTCATCATCTTCATCATCGTAATCATCTTCACTCCCATCATCCTCAATAACTTTCACATTCTTCTGTGCATTCTTTCCGCCGCCGCCACCACCACCACCACCTCCGGGGTTGTTACCAAAAGGGGGCATTTTCATGTCCTTAAATTGGGGATGCATCTTCAGATCTTGAAACCCTTTCATTTGTTGAAGCTGTTGAAACTGTTGAAGTTGTTGCGGGGTCGGACCACCGCCTTGCTGCGGTGGTTGCTGGTGGCCGCCTCCTTTACCTTGCTGCTGCTGATTATTATTGTTATTATTGTTTCCACCGCCTTTCTGCCCCTGGTTTTTGTTATTTCCGGCACCACCGCCACCACCACCGCCTTTACCACCGTCAATCTGCATGTTCTTAAATTGATTGTTGATCTGTGGATTTGGCTTCGTCGTCGGAGCACCCCAAACCTCCGCAAGCTTTCCGCTTTTAGCAAGCCTCTTGATGAGTGTGTCTGGATCAACATCTCCCGATACTGTAACCTTCCCCTGTTCTGGATCTATTTTGATGGTGTAAACTCCTGCTCACCAAAGTAAAATTAAACCAACAAAAACATCAAATAACCATAACCCAATTCAGATTCAACATTAAAAACATTAAATTTACAGGATTTAATCACAATACCCTCGATTTTCTGAAGGATTTTCTTCACTTTTCGCTTGCAGCCATCACAGTGGATGTTCACTTTCAGAGAGGTAGTCTGCATGGACAAATAAACAAGAAAACAATGGCTTGATGAAATAAACAAGAGTGAAGTTCAAGATTCAAAACACCATTGAATTGAAGAAGAAATTTTACTGAAATCCGACAAAAAGAGAAAGGGGAAAGAGGCATCTTTTGTTTGTATACATTTTAATTGAAATTAATTGTGAACAGACTGTTTGGTGAGAGAAAGAGAGAGATAGAGTTGAAAATCAAGGAAAATGTAAAGGCGAGTCTGAAGATTTTTGAGTTCAAAACACGCAAAGCATTGAAAGAAGCAATATACAGATAGTCATAAACAAATTCGTATAATAAAAAAACTTTTTTCTTCACACACTAGCAAATTTAAGAAGGTTATGTTATTATGTATGTACCTGAATCTTCACGAACTCTTCTTTACTCATATTTTGCAGTTAAAACAAACAAAATCCAGAAAGAAAAGAGAAAATAAAAATGCAAAACGAAACTGTGGAAATGTGATTGTGGGTTTTACAGATCTGAAGTGACAAGAAACAAAGAAGAAACAGAAAAGGGAAGAACAATCAAGAATTTGTTGTGAAAATTAAGGAAGCTAAAAATGGAGATATTTTAGTTTCTTTGATTTGAGTGAAATGAGGAAGAGAGAAGCCAAAAGGGTTCTTCTAGTTATACAACAAAGAGAACTTTGACAACAAGATTCAGAGGCGGTGGGTAGACATTAAAAAACCTCTCTCTGTGGTTTTCCTATTTCAGAGATGGAGATGATGCACAGAGACCTTTCTCTTTCTCTCTCTCTCTATCTCTATCTCTCACTGGGTTTTTTTAGGTTTATTTATTTGAGTTTTCTTTTCAATGGGTTTTATTTATAGTAAATTAGCGGCTAAGCCGGCTTTTGTAAATGGCTCGGCTATGGCTCACTCTCTTTTTTGATGAATTCACATTATCTTATTTTGCTAAATATATGAAACATGGTAATCCATCACCAGATTTGAAAGTACTTAAATGTCAGATCCCTTTCCCCAAAATTATGAAATTTATCTCGCTGGATTTCATTATGAAATTTTGAATAATCGGAATTAGATGATTTATTGTAGTGGTATTCTCACTAAAACTGGCTATTAAAGTTGGTAGTGGGTACTTACAAAATACCAAAAATAATTTTTTGTGACATACAATAAAACAGCAATAATGTCCTTTGCGAGAATCATTTTTTTTCAGAGGTACAACAGTTAAAACTTGGTATGTCATCGTCGGTAATAAATGAAGTTCGTGATAAGAATTATATCATGTGTTAATTTTGTTTATTCTCTATGCAATTGTATATGGGTTGTGCTATAAGTACCCCTTAACCAATTTTACCCCCTAACATCAATCAAATCAATTTTTTTATTTTTGATTTGACATTATTTTTTTCTTTTTTTTCCTTTTCATTGTTGATTTTTTTCCTTTTATTTTATATTTTAATATTATTACTATTATTATTATTATTATAAGTTTTAATAATAAGAAAAATTCGGACAACATTTTAAATTTCGGATGACATTTTAAAATTCGGTAAACATTATAAATTCGCACGACATTATAAAATTCGAACAACTTTTTTGTCCGTAATTAAAAAATATAAAAAAAAATATTTAAAAACCGATTTTATATAGTCATTTGAATTTATAATGTCGTCCGAATATTTAAATTTTGTGCGAAATTTATAATAATAATAATAATAATAATAATCAAAATATAATAATAATAATAATAATAATTAAAAACAACAAAAAAACAAAATAGGAAAAAAACAAAAAAAAACAACAAAAGACAAAAAATCAAATCAAAGGGGGTGGAATTGGAAAAGAAAGGGAGTACTTATAGAAAACCCCTTGTATATTCGTAAGTATATATATTTTTTCTCAATGCACTAAGAAATTAAGAACGTTTATAGCTTGAGGCACATACTTTGATATTTTTGTTTGCTTAAGGGGTTGGAGATTTTACGATTTGTTGCATATATATGAATTTTGCAATGTAATTCTTGGCCTTGTTTGATTTTGTGGTTATTGATTTATGATCTTTATTCGATTGTATTTTCATATATCAACTCATAAGTGTGTAGTGACCAATGTTTAAAATCCAGTGGATAACTTATTGACCAATATTCAAATCATTGACAATATTCAACCCTTGTGATTGTGGTCATGGAGGTTCGTCTGCAGTGACTTAATGAGGCATAGCTTCATGTTTACAGCAGAAAATTAGTCGGTACGCAAAAGCTGTTCCGCAATCCTTGTTAGGGAAATTCCGTTTGAAAAAAAAATGCCTACAAACAAGGTTAAGTCTGTCATTTGTAGTAAATAAAAAAAAGCAATTTAGATGATAAAATAAATGGTATGACATTAGTATACACTATCAATTCCTAAAACCTTAGCTACAGTTATATTTCCTCTCTTTCTTATTTGCACACGGAAGGAAGTATTTTGCTTGCTTATTTTGCCGCGCACTGAAGTCTTCTTCTTTCTTATTTTGCCCCTGTAACTTATGCTTTGGTTGATGCTTATCTTCTCTTCCTCAAAGTCGGTTGCCGCCATTCTCCTCCAATATTTATCGCTTCCTCTCCACCGCCTTTGCCTCTTTCTTCTTATCTCAATATCCTCCCAATTTCATCCGAAAAGGCTTCCATGTCTCTTGCGATTTTCGGCGCTCCTCTTTCTTGCACCACTCTGACGATCCCTTTTGTTTCATGGGTTCCGATTACTGAATCGGTTTCCTTCTCTTCTATTGCTCATTTATTTTGCCCTAAATTGAACATTATCTCTCAGTTAAACCACCGATCAACCTTATTGATCGGTTATGTTCTGAGATACACCACCGCTAAATATCTCGCTTTAGCTATCACTACCACTTTACATCCTCTCTGTGCTTCGACCCCCTGGCCTACGTCAATCACCACAACTATAAAAAGCGTATCAAGAGCACAACTATTGTGGTATGGGGTCTCTCCAATTCAGAACGTATGTACCAGACCTCCCTTGGCTTATTTGATCATTGTCGAAGCGTACCTGCAATCGCTGGCTCATTGTGGAAGCACCCCTACATCCGCTGACTTCTTCACTTCCCACAGCTACATCGTATAAGAAGGAGAAGACATGTATGAACCGTTCTTTGTTCTTGCTGCTAATGTTGTTAGGGCTTCACCCTTTTCTCCATTTTAGTTATTGCTCTTTCTTTCATCTTCTCCACTCTTTGCCTCACCTTTCTCTTTCATATCTGCTGATATTTATGCGAAAAGTAGAGTATGTTGATCAGTTATTAACTTTATTTTCTCATACGTGTTGATTTTCTTTACTAATTAAGACGTTTTCTAATGATTTTGTTTTCATGTAGGATTAGTGATGAAGAAGGAAAAGGAATGTCTGAATCCTTCTCTGTTGTAGCTGCTATTGTTCTTAGGGTTGATTGAATATTCGTTAACATGTTGTGGTTATTGTTAATCAGAGATACAAACTTCAACAATAATATTGGAGATTTAAATGCTAGGCACAAAGATTTCATGGTTCAACAAAGGTGAACCTTTTTTATCAATTCTTTTATGAAAATGAAAAGTAAATATCATTTGGTATCTATCTCTGGTGAATCTATTTGACATATTTCATTTTTACCTTTAATTTTGATTTTAGAGCTATTGGGATTTGAAGATTGGGGTTAAATGTTGTTAACATAAGAAGGAGGCCATTACCAAGGCATACGCCATTTGGGCTGTCAAAAAAGTTGCTTCCTGGTCTTACCAAAGATAGAATTCTACAATGGCGTGTAAGGTATATAGTATATACAACCATCAATTTTTTTAAGATTTGTTAATACACATGAAAGGAGTAATGTCTATGTTGACTTCGTAGTCGTTCCAAAAAAAAATATGTTGATTGCCTATGTCGATGAAATCATACCATTTGTCCTTCAACTGGTCTGATTATTTTAGTTTACCTGGATGGGGTCAATGGGTGGTCAAGGTAAGTAGTAAAAGTTAGTTATTTTTTAAGTTCCTTTAAAATATAATCTTTACCTTGATGTTAGCCTTTTTTGTCAAAGTTAATGGCTATGTTTCTTGGGATTTTTCAGGAAATTCTCTTACATGAAACCGGTGATCGGTATATTAGTCTTTATGGTCCACTGAATGTAGGTAGTTATCCCATTAAGCTTGCAAAGAAGAGTAGAAGGTTTACTCCAAGAACATCTTGACCGAATACAATTGAATTCTGGAGATGTAGTGAATCTTGTCATCATGCTGAGATGGTGAACAAGGGTAGTAATGGTTATCCAGAGTCATTAGTATACAGATGACAAATATGCAAAGATCTTGGGAGGTATATATTGAATATAACTTCATAACTTCTTAACAGCTCTTGAATTAACTGTACACTTCAAGTTATTGAACAAAATTTGAATCTTGAATTGTTATTTGTATTTTCACGAATCACCAGAAGGCAAGAAAATGCTACAAGCACGTATGTCTCTTCCTGCATTTAAAGAGAAAGAAAGACTCCTTCAAGCAATTGCACAGAATCAAGTTATTATGATATCTGGAGAGACTGGATATGGGATAACCATTCAACTTCCACAATACATATTGGAATCTGAGATAGAATCTGGTCGTGGAGCATTCGTAACATACTGTGTACACAACCACGGAGAATCTTTGTCATGGCTGTTGCAGAAAGAGTTTCTTCTTAAAGGGGAGAGCCTCTTGGTGAATCAGTAAGGCTTTTCTTTAATCTTTACTCTTCACTTACTTTTTATTGCTTAAAGAAAGGCTTTATAAGCAATAATTTTTGTCTTTTTCACAGGTTGGCTATAAAGTTCGATTAGAGGGTATGAAAGGAAAAAACAGTCATCTGGTTTTTTGTAACGGTTAAATTTATGTCGCTTATGTTAAAAGTTTAGTTTTATAGGAGTATTTACTTTTCCAGGTCTTTTGAGTAGTTAAAGAAGGCGTTAAGAATCATCCAGGGGAATTATCGTCCAAAAGACCAAAAACGAACCCATTTCCTTTTTTCACATTCTTATTAAATTTTACCAAAAAATCCTCACCATTTTGCTCAATTACATATGTATCTCTATATGTATGTAAGCTTCATACTTTGACATATCTCATGGGATTCTCATCAAGGGTTAATGTTCTTCTCTTCCTTTTAGTAATCTTTCAACAAAAATGGTTTGTGTTGGGCATTTCAAGCAGCAAGGCATGTTTTTTTATGTTTATATATATTTTTCAGATGTTTGACTTTTTGTTGTTGATTCCTTGACTGTTGACTAATCAAATCAAGAATAATTTAATCCAAGTTCAGGTTCATATTGTTTATATGGGACATAATACTCTCACTAAGCCAATGCTTCTTCAGGATACACACCATGGGATCCTCTCTCAAATACTTGGAAGGTTTTTCTGTATACATATTGTCATATTTTTCTATTATACATTATTATTATTATTATTATTATTATTATTATTATTATTATTATTATTATTATTATTATTATTATAGATTATATGATACATCTGCTGCTGACTTTTGAAAGTCAAATGAATTGGTTTTGACCACAAAATGTAGAAATTCAATTTGGTTTTACGAAATACTTTTATAAGAAGGCTAAATTAAAGCTTCCGTCCCTATGATTTCTATACTTAACTTTATATAGAACAGTTGAAAAAATATATATTTAAAGGGACAATCAAAGCATGTCGTTGATGTTAAATAGTAGAGGAAGCAATGGCACCAAAGTTGGTTTACTAAATGTGATAAAGATGCTGGTATGCGTTTCCATGTATTATTTTATATCATGGGTGTATGC